CCGGCCCTGGTTGGTCGTGTGGGTGGCAACTACTTGATGTGTCCCTTTCACGTCGATGTTTCTCTCTCTCTCTCCCTCCCTCCCATTCTATCTGAACAAAACATCCAAAAAAAAAATGTCCTCAGATGAGGATAAAAAAATAAAATAAATAAAATCGAAACATGGTTATACACTTCCTTTTTCTTTATCATAAGGATTCCTTATTCTAGAACTCTGACCTAACCTCCTTTTATCCTTCTATTTCCCCTACATGATCAGAAGGGTAGGGATGATTCTGTCCTGTTAAAAGTGAGACAATTTAGGCCAAGACCACATGGTGAATTAAAACCTAGATCTCCTGATAAAATCTGCCTGCCTTTCTCATGATTTGCCTTTCCCAGCAAAGATTTTGAAAATCACACCTTTCCATTGTGCTCAAGAATGAAATTCTTTAGGCCAAAAGATTTCAGTGGGGGACAGTTTTACCCCCACGGGACATTTGGCAATGTCAGGAGACCTTTTTGGTTGTCACAGCTTGGGGGGCTACTGGCACCTAGTGGGTAGGGACCAGGGATGCCATTAAACATCCTACAATGTACAGGACAGCCTCACAACCAGGATTATCCAGTCCAAGATGTCAAGAGTGCTGAGACCAGAAACCCTGCTTTAGACTTTAAAAGTCTTAGAAAGTACTTGCCTGGATCTCTACTTTCAGGCAAGGGGTCTGGCCCCAAAACACTGTTCACTGATGAAATCTCCCAAGTTAAATGATCCCTTAGTCTCTTCTAGAATCACATTGTCAGGAAGTTCTCCTTCCTGTATAGCTTTAATCCCTCCCCTCCTGTTTCTAGCTAAAGTAGATTTCCTGTTGTTCACCCATATTTCTAAAACATGAAGAACCGAGGAGCCTAAAGACTGGTTGTTGTTCAGTAGCCTTTCATTTTTTGGTCATGTTACCATCCTGTTTGAGCAGAGACCCAGCTCCTCTACTGCCTCTCCCATCTCTTTTCATTGCCCTCTCCCTCTCCTTCTCCCTCTCCCTCTCCCTCTCCCTCTCCTTCCTCCTCTCCCCCCCTCCCCCTCTCCCCTCCTTCTCCCTCTGTGTGTGTGTGTGTGTGTGTGTGTGTGTGTGTGTGTATACACATGTGTATATCTGAGTTTTTCTTTCTCCATCCTCCAGGTCTCCAGGTCCTGACTTGGCCTTCCTGACTTCCTGTCCTGACAAGAACAAAGTCCATTTCAACCCGACCGGCTCAGCCTTCTGCCCCGTCAGCTTGATGAAGCCCCTCTTTCCCAGCATGGGCTTCATCTTCCGTAACTGCCCCTCAAGCCCGGGGTCCCCCCTTCCTCCCACCAGCCCTAGACCACCTCCTCGGAAGGATCCAGAGGCCTCCAAGGCCTCCTCGCTGCCATTTGAGCCATGGCAGCACACCCCGCCATCAGAAGAGCCTGTGCTTTTCCAGAGCTCCCTGGTGGTCTGAGGGCCCCACCCCCACCACTTTACCATGGAGACTAGTGCCTTGGTGGCAGGCCCCTCCCTAGCTCCCCTGAGGTGGGGGATAAAGGAGCCCTTCCCTCTTGGCCTTTGAGCACTTTCATTTATTGTGTCAAAGCCCTGGGTCCTCTTTCTGATGGACTCTGTCCCCTCTGAGTGGGAGGGGACCTGCCTTCTCCACTAGCAGCTGGGCAGCTCACAAGTCACACCTATGTTCTTGCCACCTCTCTCACTTGGTGGAAAACTCACCCAGAAGGTCTTGGGTCCCTCACCACTGGGTGTGAATCCAAAGGACTATATGTGGGGCCCTTGTTCTTGTCATGGAGCAAGCTGGCCATGATCAACAGAGAAGGGGACACACATATTTCCTTCCCTGTCCTCCACAGACACAGAAGAGGAGACCAGAAGATAGCCCCCTCTCAACCTCCATCCCCATGCTTCCCTCTCATTGGAGGAGCTGACCAAAGCAGCCCTAAAGGGCTATAACACTTGACCAATCCAGCTGCTGGCAGAGGGGGACCCTAGTGTTTTCCCAAGTGGCATTTTCATCTCGCTTTCATCCTAAGATTGTCTTAAGCAGCAGCCCAACCTGCCCAGCCCCAGGTGGGTAGTGGGGAAAGGGGAGAGCTGGCATTCCTCCAGATGGCATGTGGTGACTCTATACCTTCCACCTGCCCCAGGACTGGGTTGGATTAGAAAAATGCCTATTTTTCTTGTATTGATGTAGAACCTCTATTTTCTCCCAAAGACACTATTTTTGCAACTGTTTGAATTGAAGTTTGTATATTTTCCGTACTGCAGAGCTTCACAAAATTGAAGAAAAATGTTAATGTTCAAGTTTTCTTATCCTGTGTTTAGAAGTTGTTGTGGTTTTTTTTTTGTTTTGTTTTGTTGTGTTTTGTTTTCGCAGATTTTGGTGTTAATAGACCAAATAAATAAGTATTCCCAGCAGTTTGAGGTTCTGTTCAATATTTGTGGGGGGGCGGTAGTGGGATGGAGATTGAGGGTATTATATTGATCACTTCATTCTTATCTTCAAGAAGAGCCTCTACTTAACACATAATGATGTATGAACACAGATTTTCTGTCCTCAAGCCACCAGGCTTGGATTCTTTACATGGACATATAAATAGTGGATTCATGGAAAGGCTTTCCAGAGTGAAGAGTGTAGTGGAGGTGTGATGAAGGAGTCATCCTTTCTTGAATGAGTCTGGAAAAGCTCCCTAGGGAGAGTGGATTTCAGAGAGGAGATGAGTGTGACCAGTGGAAGACAATTTGACATTGTGGGTGCTCTCTGACTAGTAGAAGAAACTGTTTTGTTTGTTTTTTTATCCTCACCTGAGGATTTTTTTTTTTTTTTGCATTATCTTCACATAGAGTGGGAGAGAGAGAAACATCAATATGAGAGAGACACATCGAGTGGCTGCTACCCACACGACCCTAACCAGGGCCGGGGACAAACCACAACCAAGGTACATGCCCTTAGCAGGAACCAAACCCAGGACTCTGGACCACGGGCCAACACTCTAACCGCTGAGCCAAACCGGCCAGGGCGAAAAAACTGTTTTTATCCTTCTGTGCTTCTCAGCTATTAGAGTGCCACACCTGTAAGAGCTCTTCGGCTTTTTGGGGAAATGGGAATAACCATCCCAAAATTCTGATGGTATTTTGCAATTTACAAAGCATTTTCACAAAAGACACACTAATCTCCATTGTATGGGTGAAAAGTTGACTACCCCAAGGGCAGTCATAATAACTACTGTTATTATCTAAAAGACCTCAAGACAAATTCTGAAAGACCTCAAGACAAATTCCTAAAGCAGCTATCCCAACTACAATTTATTAGCTTGTTAAGCATTAGATAACTCTATTAAATGCTTCAATAAAATGTCATTGAAATATTACAGAAATGTGATAAATCCCACTGTACTCCCGAGGGAAGGGCAGAAAGATTGAATAATTTTACCCCAAAGACAAAGGTACAATTCTGAGATTGAGAACCAGATTATTTGAATCCAGTGCCCATGCTTCTAACCACAGCACTCTCCCACTTATAATTATATTCCCATTAATTTCACATGAGGAAATTTGACTCAGAGGTCAAGTGAATTGTTTGAAATCCCAGCTGGTGAAGAGGGCGAGTTGGGTACTGGAACCCAGGTCTCTCACCCAGCTGCTGCTTGGTGCCCTAGAAACACTGATTCAGTGGTAAGACAGGAAGCAAGAACTAATGTATGGAGGTCCCTCCTCCCCCACTATTAAAGGAGAGAGGGGGTTAAGGACAGACCCCATGTTCTATCTCACCCCTCCCCCTGGAAGATTTGGCCTATTCCCCAAAGCTTTAGTGAGTCAGGCCCAGAGTGATGGGTGTGGTGCTGCCCTGAGTTTCCTTCCTTTGCCCGAGGCTGTGCCAAAGAAGCAGGCTGCCAGAAGGGGAGAAGGAGCCTCTACCCAATAGCAGCCCAGAGTGCAATTAAGTGGGAGTTTGGGTAGGTAATGGAAAGACCTGGGGTCAGTCTTGCCCTAGTTCTTGGTGCCAGCAGGTGTATGTCCAACACCTGGATAAGGGAGGGGTCCAACAAAGAGCTCATTAATAGGAAAGAATCTGGAGGGCAATGGGTTTGCTCCATTGTTGGTACGTTGTTAAGACCCTAAAGAAAATTTACTTCAGTAAGCTTCCATTTCCACCTCCAGGTTGTGAGGAAATAAGATTAGGGTGGAGAAAGAATAATTAATACTTTAAACTTGCACAGCACACTTGCCACTTTCACAAACCTCGGAAAAGTCAAGAGGTGGCAGGGTAGCTATTACCAATGATCTATTCCTAGTTTAGGTGCCCTGCCTTTAAGTGAAGGAACTGGGACAAACGCCCTGCAGCCCTTGGAAGCCTAGAGAAGTGCCTTAGGATGAGGATCGCTCTCAAAAGCCTTGAACGTTCTTTCTGGTAGAGGCAGTAGTGTCTCTGACGCTGGGCAGCGGCTAGGAGGCGCTAAGGCTCCACTAAGAATTTCTTAGCGTTAGGACCCAGTAGAAGCCTGACCGCCCACCGGGAAAAAGACACTTCGATTTGCCCAGTCGCCTGCACCCCCTTCTCCCCGCCCACCTGTCTGTCTTCACACAGTGCAGCCAATCGGTGACCTCCACATCCTTGTACATCATCACTCCACGTCCACATAACTCCTAGGTCCTCCCTTTGAGCTCTGGGTTGCAGTTATCCTCGGAGTTGCCTGATCGGAAAATCTCGAGAGCAAGACATTAACCTCGGGGCAGCTAGCTCCCCTCTCCACTAGAGACGAGGCTAAGATCCCAGGGTGGGTTTCCTTTCCTTGGAAGCGGTTTTTGGGTTCTGGGAAGTTTCACCCTCAGCAGCTCTGAGCTGGCAATTCTGGCGGTGGCTGTTGGGCCCTGTTGAGCTGCGGTCGCATGCAGCTCCTATGAGGTCCCTGTCGCCGGTCGGCGATGTCCGGCTGGAGCTGTCGCCGCCACTGCCGCTGCCGGCTGTGAGCGGGTCTCCGGTAGGGTCTTCCGGGCGTCTCATGGCCGCTAGCAGCTCCCTGGTGCCCGACCGGCTGCGGCTGCCTCTCTGCTTCTTCGGCGTCTTTGTCTGCTATTTCTACTATGGGATCCTGCAGGAAAAGATGTGAGCGGGTCCCCGGGGTGCGAAAGCAGACATTCCCTGCTATCCCACCCCCTCCCCCAAGCCTGTGGTCGGGTTTGCAGTCTTCACCACCCTGCCCCGGGTGTTCCTTCTTGCCCTCCGCCCTTCCAGCACCCTAACACATTTATAGCGCGGCTCAGACTCCCCAGATTCCCAAAACGCGAAAGTTGGTCTTTGTATTCTCAGGACCTGATTATTTTTATTTCCTTAAGTGCTTCCCCAGCCCCCTTACTGGTTCTAAACACCTGAGTTTTACAGGTTGTGACTTATATCTCAAACAGGTTTCCGTGACCTGTGCAGGATTCTTTGGAATCCCTCGATGCTTGCAGACAGTTGGCTTTTTCGCCCTTGGCCTTGCTGCTGTAGCCCAAATCCCTTCTGCTGCCTGGTATACCTCGTTTCACCATCTAATTTTCTACATTTCTTTTAACTCCATCCTTTACGGATATTCTTGTCCTAGGCTACTACTAGGATTATTAGCAGGCTGGGATGTCTACGTTCTAAATCCAATAAAGTTGGCCCCTTTTGTAAACGAGCCCAGTGATCCTTGCCAAACTCAATGGTTCTGGACATACTAGATGACATTGAAGAAAATGTACTGATTCCTCCCCTTTCTCACGCATTTCTTTTCTAGAACAAGAGGAAAGTATGGGGAGGGAGCCAAGCAGGAGACATTCACTTTTGCCTTAACTTTGGTCTTCATCCAATGTGTCATCAATGCTATGTTTGCCAAGATCTGTGAGTATCTAGATAGTAAACTGTTTTGTGCCCCCGCCCATTTGTATTCTGGGCATTAGGCAGTGATCTAACTGTAAGGTCTAACCCTCCAGATCTCCCATTCCCTTTAGCACTTACTCAGCCTCTCTGTTTAGTCCATAAAACTCATGGCTTTGGAATGGAGTAAAACTCGATTTCCTTAAATTAGATCAACTGAGTCAGAAATGTATAGAGAATGGGTCTTCTGTATTACAGATCCCCATTGAGAATACCTTTTTTTTTTTTCTGGTCCCTTTGTTTTGCCTCTGTGTGTCAACTTCAAGCATATTTTGAGCTTTTGCTAGCAGGCTAACTAGTCCCTTAAACTGAATGAGTGCCCCACCTCTGTTCTTTTTTTTTTTTATCCTCACCCGAGGACATTTTTCCATTTTTTGTTCAGATAGAGTGGGAGGGAGGGAGAGGAAGAGAGAGAGAGAGAAACATCGACGTGAAAGGGACACATTGAGTGGCTGCCACTCGCACGACCAACCGGGGCCGGGGACAAACTGCAACCGAGGTACGTGCCCTTAGCGGGAACCGAACCCAGGTCTCTCTGGACCACAAGCCGACGCTCTAACCGCTGAGCCAAACTGGCCAGGGCCCCACCTCTGTTCTTCATGTGGTTTTGTGTTAGGCTTAGGTGGGATTGGAGAGTTGAATAATTTAGAGATTTTCCAGTACAAAAGGACAGAAATAGCTTGTACTTCTTACTTTATTTGACAGAAAAGTTTCTTTCATGTGGCTTCAGCTTTTGCTCAGTGGTCCATTCTAGGCCCACCAGGTTTTTTTTTGCTTGTTTTTTTGTCTTCTCCTAGTGATCCAGTTTTTTGACACTGCCAGGGTGGATCGTACACGGAGCTGGCTCTATGCTGCCTGTTCTATCTCCTATCTGGGTGCCATGGTCTCCAGCAACTCAGCACTACAGTTTGTCAACTACCCAACTCAGGTGAAACCTCAGGATGGGGTGAGGGTTGGCTCAGAGGATATTTAAAAGGACTAAGGATTCTTCCGTCAGGTCTGTGACTTAAAAAGAGAGCGTGTTTGAGAAATTTAGAGATCAAAGAGCCATAGGTCTGACGGTTAGCAGGGGTGGGTTGGTCGTGAGAGGGCTGCTTTCTGAGGCTGTGGTTTCTGGTGCAGGCCCACACTTACTCATCTTAATACAGCACCCAGCATAGTCCCTGGCAAATTACAGATGCTCAGAAATTATTTGCTGAATTTAATTTCAGGTCCTTGGTAAATCCTGCAAACCAATTCCAGGTAAGCAGAAGAAGATGGTCTCCCATCTTCCATCCTCAGTCTTCTTATAATAATCTCTTACTTTCTCTGCTTGAGCTCTGTATCCCTTCAGGCTTCATCACTCATCATAACTATCACCAGGGACTTCCCTCCATTCTTTCCCCCTGCCATCCTGTCTTTTGTATCAATTCCTTTGATGTTGGATAGGCATAAGCTGGAGCTAGAGGCTTCATGTGGTCAGTCATTTTGGTGTCCCATGTGTTTACATTGTCATTAGACACCCTAAATCCCATTTTGATCATCAGTTACTTTCTCTCAACCTTTCACTCTTCCTCACTGTACCTACCTTTGCCCTGTTCCTTCCTGGACCTTTCACCTTGGTTCTCTACCTTTTCCCTGCCTTGTATTATGCTCTCTGTTCAACCCTGTTGCTCAGTCGTCCCTATCTAGGTGCCAGCCTCACACCCTCCTCTTATCCTCTATAGGCCTTCCTTCACAGGCATTCTTTTCTACCATGAGTCTTTTCTTGGTTCCTAGGAGGAGAGTGTTGCAGTACCAGTGGGTTCCTGAACTTCCCATTCTTTTTCTTCCCTGTAGTCATGCTCCTTGGAGTGACTCTGTTGAAGAAGAAATACCCAATGGCCAAGTACTTGTGTGTGTTGCTAATTGTGGCTGGAGTGGCCCTTTTCATGTACAAACCCAAGAAAGTAGTTGGGATGGAAGAACACACAATTGGCTACGGAGAGCTGCTCTTGGTATGTGGTCCTGGTGGGAAAGACATCCTTTTCTAGCAATCTTAACCAAGGAAAAACCCCACCTAGGCAGGCCAAAGGCCAGCTATATGTCTTGAGGGAGATTGTGGTGTTTTTTGCCCTCATTTTTAGCCTTGGTCAATTGCTACATGGCCCCTGACTCTGCTAAGGCCATAGTGGGAAGCCTGAAATATATGTGTGTGTATACACACACACACACACACACACACACACACACACATACACACACCTCATCTGAGCATATTTTCTTCCATTTATCTTCAGATAGAGAAGGAGGGACGGAGGGAGGGAGGGAAGGAGGGAGGGAGAGAGAGAGAGAGAGAGAGAGAGAGAGAAAGAAAGAAGAACATTGATGTGAGAGAGACACATTGATTGGTTGCCTCCCGCGTGACCCCCACCAGGGCTGGGGACTGAACCACAACAAGGTACATGCCCTTGACTGGAATTGAACCCGCGACTTTGTCTGTGGGCCGACACTCTAACCACTGAGACAAACCGGCCAGGGTGGAAGCCTGAAATATTTAACTGCAGCTCAGCTCAGCTCTCTTGGGGAAGGGATGACTCTGAGGCTTGTGTCTAAATGCTGGTGTGACATCACAGAGGTGTAAGAACAAAGAGTGAAGGAGTAGCGTGTCTCTCCCTGTGGCTTTCTGAGAAACCCGAAAGCCAGAGTTAAAAATATTACTATAGTAGCTATTGCTTGCTCTGTATTTAGGCACTGTTTCAAGTGTTTTACATACTAATTGATTAATTTTTACAACAGTGACCTCATAACAGATAGTATTATCTCCATTTTACAGTTGAAGAAACTGAGATAAAGAGAGATTGAGTTACTTGCCCATGGTCACGTGGCTGTTAAGTGGCAACTAGTGGCTAACACTGCCCAGGGTTCTAATACAGGCAGTGTGACTGCAGAATCCAGTCTCTTAAGTGCTGTCTTCTATGCTAGGAGGCTGACATGCTGGGAATAGATTCTTCTCTCTAGTGTTAATGGAAGAATGTGTATGGCTCATCACAACCTGTTGTCTGTCCCTGCACACCGGGCTCCCTGGCATTGTGTCAGAAAGTGGTAGGCTTCCTGCCTTCTTCTGATTACATTACAGCTATGTGGGTCAGATAGCTTGTATTCTAGTGCCTGGGGGACGAGGAAGCTTGCATGGTCTTTCCCTATCCTCCACCCATAACCGAATGGCAGCATTTTGTTCTGAGGACTCTGTCTTAAGGCAACAGCTTTCAGAGGAGTCTCAGAAAGGTGAGAGTCCTTTTGTCCTGTGGCCTTCTCACTGCAAGTTGCACCCTTTCTTTTTTAGCTCTTATCTCTGACCCTGGATGGACTGACAGGTGTTTCCCAGGACCACATGCGGGCTCATTACCAGACAGGCTCCAACCACATGATGTTGAATATTAACCTTTGGTCGACATTGCTGCTGGGAGCTGGTAAGGAGCAGTTCTGCTGTTTTTTCCATGTATCACCAGAGGGCAGACTGCCCTCATTCAATTGATCGTTAGCTCAGATGCCAGTTGCTAACTTTGCCCAGGTCAAAGTCCTACCCAGATTCTAAGATGCCCTATGTCCAAGTCCCCAAGAATCGTCCTGGAGAAACCTTCACCGGCAGGCTCTGCTTGCTACTCGTTCCTGGCAATCTGGGATATACTGTGCTAGGAAACATGGGAGGACACACAGCAGTAGAACTAAGGGGTGCCTTGGGAACTCGACCCCTTCTAAGGGAGGTGAGACATTGGTATGTGGTGTATATTGAATATAGTACAAAAGTGAATGCATTTGCTTTTAGATCAGTGCTTCATAATCTTTTCTAAATATCAGCACTTGTAGGAAGTATTTTTTGTATAGTATAATGGAGGAGGCTGCTGATGGCTGGAGGTGACCAGTGTTTGAAGCTGCCTTGAGCTAGGGATGTATGGGTCAGTATCTCCATGACATCTGGGATCTCTACTTTCAATCACTTTTGGCAGAAGTAACTAGTTAACTGTCAAGCCTTTCTTAGAAGAGACTTTAGTTAGTTTCTCTATTCAGAAAAATAGGAAAAGGATGCCTGGTGGGAAAACAATAGCTCGCTCCATACGTTTCCCACGCCCCACCCTCTTCCAGAGTACTTTAGCATGCCGTGTGCAGGTGTGTGCAAGGGTATGGGCACACAAGATGGCATCATTCATCTTCTGACATTCCTTCCTAGGAATTCTGTTCACTGGGGAGCTCTGGGAGTTCTTGAGCTTTGCTGAAAGGTACCCTGCCATCATCTATAACATCCTGCTCTTTGGCCTAACCAGTGCCCTGGGTCAGGTGAGTGCTTTGACAGGGGGCAGCTTGGTTTCCCTAAGAGACTAGCCTGGCTGGGAGAAAGGGGTGGCAAGATTAGCCCTGATGTCCTGTTTCAGAATTTAGCCCTTGTGGCAGATACCCAAGAGCTAACCTGACCCCACCATTCTCTCTCTCTAGAGCTTCATCTTCATGACAGTTGTGTATTTTGGTCCCCTGACCTGCTCTATCATCACCACAACTCGAAAGTTCTTCACCATTTTGGCCTCTGTGATCCTTTTCGCCAACCCCATCAGCACCATGCAGTGGGTGGGCACTGTGCTTGTGTTCTTGGGTAAGTTCCGTCCAGAGCAGGCATCTCTGGGCCACACAGAGAAAAAGTGACAGAGCTTTATTTTCTTCCCTAAAATTTACTTGTATAATTATGGAATTTATTTTGTTATTTTATAGGAAACTAAAAAAATTGGCAATACAATAGTGTATTTATTTCAGGTATACAGTGATTCGACCTTTTTATACCTGATGATGTGATCACCACAATAAGTCTAATAACCATCTGTCACCATGCCAAGTTATTACAATATTATTGCCTATATTCCCTATTCTGTGTATTACATCTCTGTGGCTTACTTGTTTTATAACTGGAAGTTTGTACCTCTTATTCCCCTTCACCTTTTCCACCCATTCTTCTCCTCCACCCTGGGCAACCATCAGTTTATTCTTTGGTTCTATGATTCTGCTTTTGTTTTGTTTTGTTAGATTCCACATATAAGTGAAATCATACAGTATTTGTCTTTCTCTGTCTGACTTAGTTCACTTAGAAAAACACCCTCTAGGTCCATCCATGTTGTCGCAAATGGCAAGATTTCTTTCTTTTTTTTATTACTGAGTAATACTCGTGTGTGTGTGTGTGTGTGTGTGTGTGTGTGTGTGTCACTATCCATTCATCTAAAGATGGACACCTAGGTTGCTTTCATGTCTTGGCTATTGTAAATAATCTTGCAATGAACATCCACTTTTTTGAATTAGTGTTCTTGTTTTCTTTGGATAAATATCCAGAAGTAGAATTTTCTGGGTCAGGTGAGGAAACTTTGTTTTTAAAGCATTTTTTTAAAATGTTTTTTAGAGAGAGAGGAAGGGAGGGAGAAAGAGAAACATCGATGTGAGAGAGAAACATCCATCAGCTGCATCCTGCATGCCTCCTACTGGGTATCGAGCCCGCAACCCAGGCATGTACCCTGACTTGGAATAGAATGGGGACCTCTCAGTCCATGGGACGACACTCAGCTCACTGAGCCACACCGGCTGGGTGTGAGGAAACTTTCTAACCCAGCCTTCCTAATGAGCATTTTATTTTAGTGATTTCCTTCCAGTGACTCAGGTTTCCCCAGACACTGAATGGGTAAAATTATTATACTTACTCCCTATTTATGCTTTCTATGGGTGAGCTGAGAGAATGAGCTTAGAAATTTTTGTCTTTCAGTTTTGCTGTAGTACACACACATACACACACACACACGTGTAACTACCAGTGTCTTGGTGATTGTTTTCATTTGATGCCATTCACTTTTCTCTGAGGGAATTTAATAAAACACATGTTTGGAAACTAGTTTTATTTAAAGCCCAGGTTTTGGAGAACCATGGCTGACCTTCCCCTCCCCCCCAAGTCATTGGTAGGTTTTATTTTTCCCCATAATTCTCAGTTTATTTCCTCTCTTTCCATAGGTCTTGGTCTCGATGCCAAGTTTGGGAAAGGAGCCAAGAAGACATCTCACTAGGAAGAGAGAGACTACCTCCACTGCAAGAATATTTAAGTTATTATCTCAAATAGTGATATCTCTTGGGAAAATGGACACAATAGAGATAAAAGACTGGGTTCCAGTCTGGTTTTTTTTTAAAGGAAGCAAAATCACATATTCTGGGAAAAAAAGTACTTTGATTTTAACAAGACAGAGTTGGCAGTTTTTGTTCTTGATGACCTGGAGCACAGCTTAACGCAAATAAAGAGAGAAAGAAGGAAGAGGCAGAACTTGATGCTCCTTGCCTGAGCTGCTTCCTCTCAGGTGTGGTTAACCTGGTCGGGTGGCTAATTCCTTCAAGAGCCTAGGGAGGACTTTTAATAGATTGTATAGGTGTGCTTGCGTCCTCTGTTCCCACAGGTGAGGCTGTACGTGTGCCAGGACAGATGGCTGTGTTAGAGCCATAGAATGTATACATTTACTTTCTCTCTCAAAGCTCTGGTGGACAAATATTTCTTTAAAAAGACTAGATATAGTCTGTCCTCCAGAAACTTCTCTTGATATTGGGGTAAACTGAGCTCAGAGCTTCAGAGTCTGCTTTGTTTTCACATTTTCCCACTGCTTCCCCTTCAGCTGAAGCTCACCCAAAAGCGGAGACCCAATGTGTATGTCATGAACAGCTTTGGAAGGTCTGATTCCCTCTCCATCTCTGTGTCTGTTCTCAGTCCACCTGGTCCCCTCCTGGGAGGGCTGGATTAATCCTTCCTATTCCCCTGCCCCCTTCAGCTGCTAAAGTATTGCAGTCCTCTGTCATCCTGGCTGTGCCAAGGTGTCACCATGCCAGCTTCTGTCTGCTGAAAAGGGATGCTGGTGGAATGCACGGTGGCTGAGTCCTGGCATAGAGCCGCTGTCGAGTTTTCTAGGTGGCAGTGAGGGGAGAAGGCGGAGCATGGAGCAGAGCCACCTGCCCACTGCTGCCTTCAGAGCTGGAAATCGCAATCCTGCAGGGACCACACTTTACACATGAAAGTGCATTTCCACCAGCTGCAACTTTCACTCCATCTGTTCAGCAGCCCTGGCCCCTGGACTCTCCAGATGGGAACCCAGCCTTCTTCCTGAGCCCTGCCTTGCCACCCTCCGCCCAGCCTTTCAAGCCCTGCCTCATTCGCACTCATCTCCCTCTCTAGGGGCCCGGGTGTTGCTGCAGCTCTGGCCCTAAAGGCCCCCTCATTTTGAACTTGAGAGAAGAGGTTTTACGTACCTCTGGCTGAAATTCCTTCCTTCAGCCTTACCTCACTCTTTTTCATCCTGAAAGTTGCTCCTTCTCTATGGGACTGATAGTCCTTCCAAACTGTCCTCCTGTGGATTGGTCAGGTAGTTAGAGCACGTTACCAGGGCCAGGGGCCTACTGTTTCTAACAAGAGACATTTTCCCAGCTATCAGATCAATCCCCTCCCTCTACCCCTGCCATGTCCAGCCAGCTGTCTCAGATATGCCTAATGCTAGTCACCAAGAACAAAGCAGAGTTTTCAACAACTCAGCATGGCTTTCCCTTGATACTGAAGCAAGCATGTCCTACCAACGCTGGGCGAGGAGCCTAGTTCTTGTATACCCACTCAGTCCCCTGTTCATTCACCTCACACTTCCTTCTGTGTGCCACGTACTGCGAATCTGCTGGGAACTCAAAGTTGAGTACAAACTGTACTTACCTTTTAGGGGGTTCATAATCTAATAGGGAGGCGGGTAAATAAATCATTGCATCGCAGACGTTCAGGGGTAACTGAAGGACCATGTCTGGGCAAGGTGAGGCTTGAGCTGGAGTGTGGGAAGATGAAAGGAGCAAGCAAGCGTTGGCTCCACCGCCAAGTAGAGAATGGGGTTTTAACCTGCCTGGCTTCTCCCCATGCGCCTGCCTCCAGTCATTTCCCGTGAGAGCTCGGGCAGAAGAGTGGCTCTGCAGCGAGACATCTTCAGCTCAACTGGAAGATACTCGAAAATGTGTGAGCCGCCAGTTTGTCCAGGGTGGCATACTTACCTACAGGATCATGGGAACTGAGAGCTCCAGGTTAGAGTAAGTAACACTCTTAGGTTATAATAGTGTTTGTCAATGTGAAATGCCAGACAAGTTCAAACAAAAGTATTGTAGATCCCTAACCCTGGGCAGCCTGATGCCTCAGGTTTCTAAAGATCAAAGGACTTTCATGTGCAGTTCATTCTCAGCTATGTGTATAAGGGAAGGAACCGGCACAGATTTCCCCAAACACTGTTCTTAGTTTGGGGTGGATTGTATTTATGTCTATTTTGGTCAAACCATCAGGTTCACCTGCTCAGCTGTCTGCTCAGACTCATGGTAAAGCAGTTTTTTCATGTCCTGTCCACCTCTTAGCCTGGGGCAAGGGTAGCAACCCACAAATGTGATTTGGGGAAAAGCTATGCTAGAATTAAACATTAGAAGGAAGAAAAAGTATACATTGTTTTTCAAAGGAATTAAACACTGTGGCTAATCTTTAAAGTGAGGTATTTAGGAATGGATTATGTGCTTTCTCAAAGCCCTGTGACACCTTCCTGAAGAGGACTGAGCAAGCATCTGAACCTTTTAGAAATAAAAAAACAAGTTAGGGAAGGTTGGGTAACTTGGAGGTCCCTGGGTCTGTCCCTGAGAGATTAGTTAAAACTCAAGGTTCCCCGAGTTCTAGTTGTATCTTGGACCTGTGCCTTTGAGGATGAGGAGCAGAGCTCAGGAGGCCCATTGCTTCTACAGTCTGTCTGTCCCACTTGTCAGTGGAACAGTTTGCACATTTTATGAATGATTCTGGTCACTTTCCCCAGATGCCCTGGCAAAGAGATTGTCCTGGGTCTCTGGGGGATCATTCGGCCCTTCCCACTGAGAACACACCAGCTGTCTTTAGGAGCAGCAATTTCATGTATTTATTGAGCTCCTCCTTTCCCAAAGCTTTTTAGTCCATGACATTTTATCCTTACAACACTCCTGGGGAGAGCTTGGGCCAGAAACAAGTCTCCCCATATTTGGAATAGGGAGCCTGAAACTGCATTAGCTGAAGGTCACACTAATCTGTGGGAGGGCAGGGCCCCAAAGAGTCTCCACTCACCACAGGTCAGGTCAACAAGCTGAGCCCAGCTGTTTGGATTTCCTGGTCTAGGAGAATTTCCAAATAATTTGGAGGGCTGACAGGTATGCTGGCTCCCCCCCACCCCAAGTAAGGACATTTAAAAAATCTAGTATCACCATTATGGCTCATAAAAGGACATTTTAACTCTAAAATTTTTAACCCTGGGTGGTGTGACTCATTTGGCTGAATGTTGTCCTGTGCACCAAAAGGTCACTGGTTTGATTCCTGGTCAGGGCACATACCCAGGTTTCAGGTTCAATCTCTTGTCAGGATGTGTGGGAGGCAACCAATCTCTCCCCCTCTCCTTTCCTCTCATATCAATAAAAACATTTTTAAAAAAAATGTAGGAAAAGCTATCCATTTCAGAAAAAAAGGACTCTGCTTCCAAAGAAATGATGGAAATCATACAGCCATGTAGAAAATGAGATGAATTTTTTTTCTTCATTGATTTTTAGAGAGGGGAAGGAAGAGAGAGAGAAACATCGATGAGAGATAACATCGATTGGCCGCCTCCTGCATGCCCCCCACTGGGGATTTGGCCCACAACCTGGGCATGTGCCCTGACCGGGAATCAAACCAGCGACCTCTTGGTGCGTGGGTCGACGCTCAAGCACTGATTTTTTAATTGCAGAAAATGTTCAACGTAAAACATTCTATGGTAGTACATTGTTGGATATTTCATTATGAATGTTTGATACAACTAGGTCAATTTGGGGGCTGTATTCCACAGTGTGGCTCACGGGAGCTGGAAAGTCACATGAGCATGCTGATAAAGGTGGAAGCAACCTGTTGAGGTTTTACATCATTTAGAACATTCTGAGAGAAAACAATACCCCCTGACCTGGGCCACTCCTGCCTTCCCTCTATAGGGCCAGAAGCAGGCTGTGGGGGCCAAGGGGTTTCCCAGTGAGGGCTGTGAGACGAGACTTGGCTCCTCTGCTTCAAAATCTACCCCCCAAATGTCCCGGCCATAGCTTTGCTCATCCAGCTCAGAGTGTCCAGAACTTATTTTGGAAGGTTTTACCTCCTAGTGAAAGACCATTTCTGCCAGGCACAGCCCTCTGACTGGGAACCAGGAGGCTGCGCCTGCCATGGCAAGAAGGAGGGGAAGGAGAACAAGGAGGGTCTTGGAATGACAGGTCATTTCATTCAGGGCCTTCCACTTGGCTGAGGCGCAGGTCCACGAGGGCCGGTGGGTTTTCTGTCCGAATATGCCTGCCCTGTTAGTTCTGGGAGAGGTGAAAGAGGGAAGATGTTCAAGGCATTTACCAAGGAGAGAAGTGGACGCTTCTTCCTGCCCTCTTCTGCATCTCGTTATGGTATGTGGGTGGCCAGAGCTGGTAGAAGCGCCGTGTTTCAGCTTAGGTTCTGACTGCACCATTTCCTCCTACTCAGCATCTAGACTGCCACTTTCAGACCCAATCCCTAGAAGGAATGTATCACCCTTACATGAAGGCTGGGAACTTCCTGAAATCTGGTGTAAAACTGTGTATGTATGAGTAATAGCACAAATGCTCACACATGTGTCAAGCTGATATGTTCTTTTTTCTGTAAAAAAGAATCCACGGCTCTCTTCAGATTCACAAAGGCATATATACAGAGTCCCGTATTAATGGGACTCTTTCATTAAAAGTGCTTTTCCATAGAGAGTTGTGTAATTGGGCACCACTGCAAAATATGAGAAAACATCATCTCCAGCTCTGCTTATATGGAGAGGTGGGGTTGAGGTTGCAGAGACACCCAAGGAGAGTAACTCATCCAATTTCATTTCTGCTTGTCTCAGCTCCTCCACACACTTTATCTAGGGTTGTCAGAGTTAGTGAATAAAAATGAAGGATGCCCAGCTAAATTTGAATTTTAGATAAATACAGTTTGTTAGACACACTTATACTAAAAAGTATTCATGCATTATTTGAAATATACCAAATGATTATGTGTTATCTGAGATTCAAATTTAGCCAGCATTCTGTATTTATCTGACAAGACTGTTTGTGGCATTAGTCCTTAGAACACACGTTCTCATGGGCCCCTCTTTTCCTAGGAGAAAGAAGGACCCTCAGATACATTACCATTTGCAATTCTGTGCTCAGGCTTCCAGGTACTTTCCTTCAGGGCCAAGCATAATTTCCCTCTTGGCCCTGGGGAGGTGCGAGCCTAGACTTAGTCAGCAGGGGGCACCATTTTCTTAAAATAGATCCCAGTGGAGTTTCAGGGGCCTCAGAAAGATAATGGAGAGCACTGATTTGAATTCTATTTGCTGCTTCTGTCTTTCTCTGGAACTCACTTCTCCCACCCACCACTCTGCCAGAATTATCTTTGTGAAACAAGAATCTGATCCTGTCACTTCACACCTTAAATCACTTCCAAGGTTCCCTGGGTACCTTCATCATGTGGCATCAAAAGTGCTTCAGGATCCCACTGGAGTTTATTTTCCCTGCTCAACTGCTGCTGCTTCCACCCTACATGATCCCACCCACTTCACACTTTGGCACCTCCATTCACCATGAGCTATTTGTGCTTTCCCTGTACACTATATACTACCATACATTTGTGCCCATACTTCCCCCTGCCTGGAATTTCCTTTTCCACCTGGTGCTTCTAGCGACTCCATTCAACGTATCTCACAAGTATTTATTGAGACCAACCCTGTACCAGGCTCTCTGCTACTTGCTGGAGATACTGTGGAAAAGGATGCCAATTACAGCTCTTTCCTTATGAATCTCATAATGGGGAGAGGGGAGAAACAATACATAATTAAATCAGTGAAGTATTTGGACTTAGTTTAAAGGTTAACTCATTTGATTTCCTGGAGCAGAGTTAATGGTTCTCTACATTGGGTCTTCTGATGGCTTATCATATTCAGGGTCCCATATTCTAACACCTGCCCAATCATTGCAGGGAACATGAATGAATGAAGAGCCAATCAAATTAATAGTGAAGGGGTGGGGCAGAGAGATGGGGGGGTGTGACCTATGACAAACTGAGAATGCCTTTCTCATCTAAAGGGTGACAGTGGCTTTTCACCTCCTTCTGATTGTTGCCAAATCTGTTATTTCAAAAAAGGATAGAAATACTGATTTTCACATGAACTTCCCCATTTTAAAAAATACTTTGCCACGAGGTATCACCTTACACCTGTCAGAATGGCTGCCATCAACAAATCATCAAACAATAAGTGCTGGTGAGGGTGTGGAGAAAAGGGGACTCTAGTACACTGCTGGTGGGAATGCAGACTGATGGAGCCACTATGGAAACTGGTGTTTCCTCAAAAAGTTAAAAATTAAACTGCCATTTGACCCAGTGATCTCACTTCTAGGAATATACCCTAAGAAGCCTGAAACACCAACCAGAAAGAATATATGTACCTCTATGTTCATAGCAGCACTATTTATAATCGCTAAGATCTGGAAACAGCCCAAGTATCCATCAATAGATGGGTGAATAAAACTGCTGTGGTACATTTTGCCACTCTTATTTAACAGTACTGAAAGTCTTAGGCACAGCAATCAGACATGAAGAAAAAATAAAAGGGATCCGAATTGGAAAGGAGAAAGTGAAACTGTCATTATTCGCAGATGACATGATATTATACATAGAAAACCCTAAAGACTCCATCAAAAATATACTAGACTTAATAAATGAATTTGGCAAAGTAGCAGTATACAAAATTAACGTCAAGAAATCGAGGGGTCACGTTGAGCTGCGAGCCGCCTCAGGGGCATCTTTAGGAGTCAGCAACATGGCAGAAGACATCAAGACCAAAATCAAGAACTACCGGACTGGTCCTTTTGACAGCTGTTTCCCTAACCAGGACCAGACCAGGAACTGTTGGCAGAATTACCTGGACTTCCACCACTGTAAGAAGGCAATGACTGCTAAAGGGGGTGATGTCTCTGTGTGCGAATGGTACCGGTGTGTGTACAACTCACTTTGCCTTATATCCTGGGTGTTGGTATGGGGTGACCACTGGGCAGAAGGCACGTTTCCTGGGAAGATCTGAACTGGCTGCACTTCACCTGTCCTTTGTCCTCCATCCTTCTCCCAGGGAGTGAAGGGGGGCCTGGTTATATCCCACCCTAGGATCCTGAATCATGGCTTAACTAATAAATACTTGTTGGAAAAGTGTAAAAAAAAAAAAAAAAAAAGAAAAGAAAGAAAGAAAATCGACAGCGTTCTTATACACCAATGATAAACTCACAGAAAGAGAAACAAACATACAAAAAAAAATCCCATTTACCATCATGGCAAAAAAATTAAGATACCTTGGAATAAACTTAACCAAAGAAGTAAAGGACCTATTTGCATAGAACTACAGGACATTGAAAAAAGAAATAGAGGAAGATATAAAAAAGTGGAAGCACATACCTTGTTCATGGATTGAAAGAATTAACATCATTAAAATGTCCATACTACCCAAAGCAATCTATAAATTCAATGCAATCCCCATCAAAATACCAACAACATATTTCACAGAACTAGAACAAATACTTCAAAAGTTCATATGGAACCCAAAAAGACCCTGAATAGCCACAGCAATCTTGGGGGGAAAAAAAGGACAAAGGAGGTGGGATCACAATACCAGATATCAGGTTATACTACAAAGCTACTGTAATCAAAACAGCCTGGTACTGGCACAAGAACAAGCAGATAGACCAGTGGAACAGAACAGAGAACCCAGAAATTGACCAAAGACATTATGCTTAATTAATATTTGACAAAGGAGGCAAGAGCATACAATGAAGTAAAGATAGTCTTTTTAATAAATGGTGTTGAGAAAATTGGACATCTACCTGCAAAAAAGTGAAACTAGACCATCAATTTACACCATACACAAGAATAAACTCAAAATGGATAAAAGACTTAAATGTGACTCATGAATCCATAAAAATCCTAGAAGAAAATGTAGGCAACAAAATTTCAGACATCATAGTCAGCAGAATTTTCACTGATATATCACCTAAGGCAACAGAAACAAAGGAAAAAATGAACACATTGGACTACATCAAACTAAAAAGCTTCTGCACAGCAAAAGAAACAACTATCAAAATGGGAAGGGAACCCACTGTATGGGAGATCATCATTGCCAATGATACATCAGATAAGGGGTTAATTTCCAAAATATATAGAGTGCTCATACAACTCAACAAAAGGAAGACAAAGAACCCAATTAAAAAATGGGCAGAGGCCCTGGCCGGTTTGGCTCAGCGGTTAGAGCGTCGGCCTGCGGTCCTGAGAGACCCGGGTTCAGTTCCCGCTAAGGGCATGTACCTCGGTTGCAGTTTGTCCCCGGCCCTGGTCGGTCATGTGGGTGGCAGCCACTCGATGTGTTCCTTTCACATCGTTGTTTCTCTCTCTCTGTTCCTCTCTCTCCCTCCCACTCTATCTGAACAAAAAATGGGAGAATGTCCTCGGGTGAGGATTAAAAAAAAAAAAAAAAAAAATGGGCAGAGGAACTAAATAGACACCTCTCTAAACAGGACATACAAATGGCTAAGAGACATATGAAGAAGTGCTCATCATCACTGATCATCAGAGAGATGCAAATTAAAACAACAATGAGGTATCACCTCACACCTGTCAGAATGGCCGCCATCAACATATCATCAAACAACAAGTGTTGGCGAGGGTGTGGAGAAAAGGGGACTCTAGTACATTGCTGGTGGGAATGCAGACTGGTGCAGCCACTATGGAAAACAATATGGTGTTACCTCAAATTAAAAATTGAACTTCCATTTGACCCAGTGATCCTACTTCTAGGAATATACCCTAAGAAGCCTGAAATACCAATCAGAAAGATTATATGTACCCCCATGTTTGTAGCAGCACTATTTACCATAGCTAAGATCTGGAAATAGCCCAAGTGTCCATCAGTAGACGAATGGATAAAAAAGCAGTAGTACATATACACAATGGAGTACTATGCAGCTGTAAGAAAGAAAGATCTCTTGTCCTTTGAGACTACATGGAGGGACCTGAAGAGTATCATCCTGAGTGAGGCAAGCCAAACAGAGAAGGACAAGTATATGATCTCACTTATTTGTGGAATATAATGAACATAACAGTCTGAGGAATGGGGTAGTCCCAGAGATGTGGAGGTGGGGTACAGACTGACAATCCCCAGAAGAGGGGATGGTGGGGGAGAGATAAACCACAGATCTTATATGCATGTATGCATGAACAGTGGACATGGACAACAAACTGGGGACAGGGCGGGGAGGGAAGGGAAGGGGGGAATCAGTGGGGTTAAAAGGAGAAACATCTGTAACAAAAATTAATTAATAAAAAAGAAAAAAAATAGAATAAAAAAAAAAAACACAACAATGAGGTATTACCTCACACTTGTCAGAATGGCCACCATCAACAAATCATCAAACAACAAGTGCTGGCGAGGGTGTGGAGAAAAGGGTACTCTAGTACACTGCTGGTGGGAATACAGACTGGTGCAGCCACTATGGTGTTTCCTCAAACAATTAAAAATTGAATTGCCATTTGACCCAGTGATTTTACTTCTAGGAATATACCTTAAGAAGCCTGAAACATCAATCAGAAAGAATATATGCACCCCTATGTTCGTAGCAGCACTATTTATAATAGTTAAGATCTGGAAACAGCCCAAGTGTCCATCAGTAGACAAATGGGAAAAAAGCAGTGATACATATACACAATGGAGTACTATGCAGCTGTAAGAAAGAAAGATCTCTTATCCTTTGAGATGACATGGAGGGACCTGGAAAGTATTATCCTAAGCGAAACAAGCCAAGCAGAGAAAGACAAATATCACACTATCTCACTTATTTGTGGAATATAATGAACATAACAGTCTGAGGAACAAAGTAGACCCAGAGACGTGGAAGTAGGGTACAGGCTGACAATCCTCATAAGAGGGGGAGGGAGGAGGGAGGGAAGAGATAAACCACAGAACTTATATGCATGTACACATAACTGATGGACATGGACAACAAAGCTGGGGACGGGGTCAGATGGGGATGGGGAGGAAGGTGTCAATGGGGAAAAAAGAAACATCTGTAACAAAAATAAATTAATGAAAAATTTTTCAAATAAAGTATTTTGCCAGCTACACTAAACATGCCAACAGGTCAGATTTGGCCCATGGCCACCAGTTTTCCACCCACCATCCTTTAACACTATATCATTGTCTTGCATCTGATTAGTATTCATATGTACTTTCTCCCCCAAGACTGTGCCCTTGTGTCTTTAGCCTGTAACACAGTGGCTGGCACATGGTAGGTGCCAGTCAAACATCAATAAATGTTGGTGGAAGGGCTGAAAGACAGGAGGGAGGAAAGAGACAAACTGGGAACAACAGTATGGATAGGAGTTCTTATTACAATTGCTTTGGGTGTGAGGCACATGGAACAAAAAAGCCTGTGATTATTTATTTCTGAGTGTGCATGTGTGCATGAGTGTGAGTTTCCATGTGAGCAGGTGTGACAGCTGAAAAATATGTCTAAGAACCATGAGCTTCTTTCTCGGTGGGCTCCCAAGCCATCCCTCCCCATTCCTGGCAGATGAGGGGGAGGAGAAGAATGCAGGGCTCATGGTGGACTCCTGGCTTCCTTCCAGGACCTGTAGTCACTGGCACCAAGATCAGAATGAGCTTATATGGGCTTTTGGCACCAACTGATACATCCTCAGGGGAAAGTGTCTGGCAGCTGTTGCTACCCACTGCCTACCCGCTAGAGTGCCCACTGCATAGCAAGCAGTTGTGGGGATCAAAGTAAAATGCTTTCTCTTCTCACTTGTCCAAAGTGACATTGTCTAAATGACCCTTCACCCTGCTTTGGGGATCAAAACTCCTCAGTAAAAGAGAAGGGTGGAGTCACTTAGAATATCCATCACAGCCCCCAGAGACAGAGCAGCAGCTTGACCACTGGAGCAGCCTGCTGATTTTTGCTTAATGATATTTGGTCCTTTTTTTTTAAATCCTCACACAAAGACATTGTCTTCATTGATTCCAGAGAGAGAGGAAGGGAGAGGGAAAAAGAGAGAAACATTGGTGTGAGAGAGAAATGTCAATCGGTTGCCTCCTGCACATGCCCTGACCCTGATTGGGGATCAAACCCGGGTATGTGCCCTGACGAGGAATTGAACTAGTGACTCTTTGGTGCTTGGGACAATGCTCTAACCACTGAACAACACCATCAAGGGCTATGCTGTCCTTTTTATCAAGAGAGGATGCTGCCTTGAGCCCACACAGAGCATCTCATATGTAGTCCGTCTTGTTACTTCAATGAATAAGGACATCTTTGAAAAATAGACATTTGAGGTTTAGAAAGTATATTTTGTCTAATTTTCAGGAGAAGTAACTAGATCATTTAGGAATCAGCCTCCATTCATCTTGGCTCCAAAATCTCTTGTGAAGCCTGAAAAATGTGATTTTCTGAATCAGAGAGGGTGGAGGGTATTGGACAGCCTGAAGTACATTGGAATCACTTGTTAAGCTAGACTATGAAAATTACTATCCCGTGATGCTCTCTCTGGTGAGAGGTATCTTGAAAGCCAAAGCAACCTCCAGCCTCCAGGGTGCCTCTTGCTTCCTACCAGCACTTGGCCAGTCAGAAGCTTTGAAGCAAGACTTTCCAGGAAGCAATGTCTCCTGTGGGCAGTGCTGACTCAGCCCAGGCTCCACGCTCTAAGCCTGGTCCCTATCCCAGAGTACGCAGCAGAGGCTGAGGCACATAGGGGGCTGTGACCCTGGGCTGTGAGTGTGCTGCTGGGAAGAGGGGGCAGAGAGAGTGAGGGATGGACCCTGAATTGATTAGGTTTTTGCTAAGGGAAAGGGGAGAGAGACCCCACAGTGGTTTAAATCCAGCACCCTTAGACAAAATCTATCTTCCCTAAATTTCCAGAGGCAGAGATGATGGAAAATTCAGTACCTTAAATCTGGTAGTGAGAACATAACTTTGATCTATTCCCCAGCTCTCATTTCTAATCTGCTGTGGGGGGAGGGGATGACTCTCTCTGGGGCCTCCACCTGAC